ACTTATTAACATTATTACTAATTACTACTACAAATTAATATGAATACAATTTATTGTTAACATTAATAGATTAAACAATGTTTGAGTACTTTCAAGTCCTAATGGTAGGGTTAGAAATGTCCCGTATCTAGTCATAATTTCCTTGAAGGAGTTTCTGAGTTTTCAAATAGGTTGCAAAATTGTCTCGCACCTTTTGTGCTCTTGATGTGAAACGATTATTTCTACCATGTGCATGGATGACACCACCATCGCGAGCATTGAAACGCAATTCTCTGAAAACTGGATCGTTTTCTCCATCTTTGTCTCTGATGACGTTGTGAAGAACACGCGCAGCCTTTATAATTGCAGTGACACTTTCGACAGAAGTGTCGATAGATTCAAGATCCGCCATTTAGCATTTAGAACACCAAATGCACATTCAATAGTTCGCCTAGCTCTTGACAGTCGGTAGTTAAATGTAGTTTTTGCAGGGGTCAGGTTTTGTCTTGCATAAGGTTTCAAAAGATAAGTTTTCAATGGGTACGCCTCGTCAGCTATTAGAACATGTGGTGCTTTAATGGTTGAATTTGGAAGTTCACAATCTTGAGGCATATTGAATTCATTATTTTTCAAACATTCATATAATGATGATGAAGCAAAAGTACCCCCATCATTTTGACGTTCTTTACCACCAACGTCTATTACTAGAAACTTGTATTCAGAGTCACAAACCGCTTGTAGCACAATGGAAAAAAACTTCTTATAATTGAAGTATTTAGAACCCGAATGAGGAGGACATTTAATACGACACTGTTTACCATCTAGGGCACCTACACAGTTAGGAAAATTCCACTGATTCCAAAACCCCTCTTTAGATTTAACTAGCTGTTCAGTTGTTGGTTTCGGAATGTGATTAGGGGCCAGACGATGCCACAGTACTTAACAGGTTTCCTTCACAATACAGTTCACTGTTGAAACTCCCATCCGAAAAGAAAATGCCAAGGTCCTAAATGATGATCCAGTTGCCAAATACCTGAAACAAAGTATGGTAGGTTGCAATAGTCCAATAAATGTGCAGTATAACTAGGTTATAACGTTATTTAAGGGACCACAAAATTAATTAAACCTATAGCAGAGTGACAACACAGAATAAATAAAATTTCCCGGTTTTAAATACATACTTTAATGGGCTTGTATGTATAAAAAACTCAAATACGAGTAATTAGTATGTGAGCAAGGGAGAGGCCTGGCAAAAGAGTAGGGGTTTGGTGTGGGGAGAGAGGGTGGCTGATAACCGCTGATAACGCAAAACTGATAACAGCGATAACATTATTTTACACTGCACTACGTGGGAAACTTTGTTGCTTGGGTCTGGTATTTGTTGGCATTATATTGACGATGAACCCAAGGTAAAAACTTGTTAAAAGGAAGATAAACGGATAAAAATGTTATTAGAAATTCTCTACGGTTATAAACGGGTATAAACGGGGGGGGTTATTCAAACCATTTATTTACCGATCTTTTAATAAATGTTACTTTTGTTTTCAGGCGAGGATGCACGTGGAAAGTGGAAATATCTTAAAGATAATTACAGAAGAGAATATAAAAAAAACGACTACATCCAAATCCGGCGATGCTGGAGGATCGAAATCGTCCAAATGGCCCTTCTTCGATTTGCTATATTTCCTGCGTTCAGAAGTCGAGCCGAGCCGTCTGTCAGGCAATTTAACAACAAATGAAGAGCTCGGCGAAACCCTTGTGGAAAGCCAATCATTGGAAGGTAACGTCAACGAATTGCCACAAATTGATGAGGTTGAAATTGCACAAAATACCGACCAAGATCTGCAGTGCACAGATGCACCACCAAGAACTTCAGCCCCACGTAAGAGGAAATTGGCCCCTCAAGAATCCATCGCTGAAAAAATGTTCGAAATTGAAAAAGAAAAAATAAAACTATTGAAAGAAGATAAAACTGAACAATGCGAGGACTACCATTTCTTTATGAGTTTGTTGCCTCACCTGAAGGCAATGCAGCCTCTACAAAAACTGCACGTCAGGAATAGACTTACTCAAGTATTAATTGATGAGTCAAGATGTTCATCAAGTGGATCAAGCCTATCTGGTTTTAACACCTTCAATTATGGTAGATACAATGACAGTGCGTGAAATAATACTGAAATGTTTTTTTTATGTCTGTAACCTTTTTGCCAAAGTAAAAAATTTTAATCACGCTTACTTTTGTAACGGCCCAGACTTTAAAGTAATTAGGTAGTGCCTCGACTTATTTAAAAGTCAAATAAGTTTAAATAATCAAAACTGGTAAAAACTAAACATGAAAACTTCATATTTACACTGTTCAGCACAGGTTTTTGTCAGATTTGCAGGTTTTAATGCATATTATTAGAAAATATGCATATTATTATATTATTTAAAAAATATTAACAGATTAATGCTGCTTAAATATTGTAACCTACCTTAAGGTCAATACTAGTCTCTCTTCTGCCCCAATTGGTCTCTTCCAATTTGTTGTCTGTTTCTCCAAATCATCCTTCACCAAACCAAAGATATAATCAAACGTTGTAGTCGACATTCTTGTGTAGTCCATAAACCGAGACTCTTAGGACTTTTAGTGTTTTCTTAGGATTGGAAATAAGTGGTGATATTCACTATGTTTGTCCCTGCCTTTACACACTTCATGCACTCCGACACTTCTCCTACTGATCAACAACTGCCACCTAAATGAATCTTCTAGAAGGCTAATACGAGCCGTCTTCGACAGAGCCATCCTGTATACTGATGTACCTAGTAACTGACCGACTACAACCTTAATGCGCTACGCTACGCTGCGCTCTCTGTGTGTATTGCACTACGCTGCGCTCTCTGTGTGTATTGCACTACGCTGCGCTCGCATACGCTACGCTGCGCTGCGCTACGCTACGCTGTCTGTATGATTCTACACTTACGGTAAAAACAGACAGACAGCGGAGCGGAGCGGTGTACCACGTCACGTCCGCTCCGCTTGTCCGAAGCGTTCACTGCGCACACAGGATGCGCAGCGGATCGGCAGCGGCGAGCGTCTAGCCCGCCCATAATCACCATGGCGTTGTCCAAAAGTCAACGTACTTTATTGCTCTGTTAAAATACTTATTTAAAATGGTTTGCTTTGCGAGGTGTAGGCAGGAAACAATGGGTTCATGAATTGAATGAAGTGAGACAACAATTTGGTGAGTATCACCACAAAGAGTTAAAAAACTTTGACAAACGATTTTTTGAGTACATGTGCATGTCAATCGGTACTTTTGACTACATCTTATCAAAAGTTAAAGATGGCCTTGAGAAGCAACTAATTGGAGAAAGCCGATAAGTGCCGAGGAGAGACTTGTTGTTACTTTAAGGTAAGCTGTTATTTAACTTTGTTATGCCACTTTAGTTTGTAAAGATAAAAACTTGTGTGCATGTTTATAGTGCATGTGTATAGTTAAGATGAGTTATTTTATTTGTATAAACAAACAAATACGTTATTGTCCGAGGGGACATGTCAAATTTTAAAATCGATTGATATCACACAAATACACATAGTTCACAAACACGTTTATTTGGGTAGGCCTACCACACGTAAAAATACACTCGCCGCGGCACACCCGGAAGCAGCTGCTTCCGGGAAGTGCAACGGCGAGAGTATTATTTGCGTGTGATACTTCCGGTTTTTGCGGATTTAGTCAGATATTTAAAGTCTGATTAAAATTATTTTTTACATATTGTTGTTCGTGATAAATGTCCGCACAAAATTTTTACCCACAAGGTTATACATACAACGAGACAAGTAGTATTATAGTAATATATACCTTTTTAGAAAAATTAAACTGCATGACTTTATTGTTAGGGTACATTAAAGATGCACATTATAAGTTGCAGTAACATTTTATTCACTTAAAAAATTGCATTATTAATAAACAATTACACAATTGTACACAGTTGGTTACACAATATTTTTTTATTCAAGACTGGCAGATCTTAAGTATACAATTATAAGTGTTACATTAATTTGTCAGTTTTCATTCGATTACATTATGTAGACCGTAGGCCTGCTGATGGTCGTACTGTGGAGACCATGAATTATTGTAGTCGAAGGTAGTCAAGCTTGTACTCGTAGATCTCCCAGAAGGGGGGCGTTCGCTGGTTTCATCAATGATTACCTGAGTTAGCTTGTTTCTCACTTTGAGTTTTCTTAGTGGATCCAAACTCTGTAGATGAGGAAGCAGACTCATCAGAAAATGGTAATCTTCCGAGTCGTCATCATGCTGTCTGTTTGTATTCTTCAACAAATCAATTTTTTTTCTTCCAACAGAAGCATTTTTTTTTGCTACTGTATCTTGAACTGTCTCCTTCCGTTTGCGGGATACTTTTGTAGTAGGTAAAGTATCTTGTTGCTCGTCAAGTAGAGCGTCACTGTCGTCAATTTCAGGAGGTCTTTGGTTGGAATTCTGACAGTCAGGCGAATCAATGTCGTTTTCATCTGTGTTAACAGTTTCCATGATGACTTTTACTTTACTACAACCAGTTGATTTTTCCAAATTACCTGACATCGGAATGGTGTTCACTTCATCCTTCATGAAATCCAGCAGAGTGAAGTAAGGCCAGCTTGATGTTTGAATAGACCCACCTTCGTCACCAGACTTACTTTTCATAGCTTTCCTCAACTCTTTGCGGTAGTTATCTTTGAGATATTTCCATTTTGAGCGGGCAGCATCTTCTGAAAATAAAAAAAAGTATATAAAAACTGATAATGATTAAAAAAACTTAATTTTTTTCTTAAGTCACATTTATTGGTGAAAAGTAAACTATTTAAAAATTTAAAAAAAAATGATTAACTGATTTATTTAAACACTTTAATGGTTTAAATTAACTCCTCGGACCCTTTAATTGTTTCCCTTTACTTTCTATCATAACTAACTATTTTTTACCATCTAAGTCTCGGGTTTTTTTTTTTTAGGTACTTAGCAACTGGTGCTCAGTTCAAGATGTTGGCTTTCTCTTTCCGTATGAGTGCCTCCACAGTGAAAGCCATTGTGTTGGAAACTTGCAAAGTTATTTGGAAGAACCTTCTCAAAGACCATATGCCACAACCTACTGCAGAAATGATGGAGAAGTCCAAAGCTGGATTTTGGGAACTATGGAACTTCCCCAACTGCGTGGGAGCACTGGACGGCAAACATTGTAGGGTAAAATCTCCACCACATTCGGGATCTGCATACTACAATTATAAGAAGTTTTTTTCTATTTTACTTCAAGGTGTCTCTGATCCAGACTATAAATTTCTTGCAGTTGAAGTAGGTGGGAAAGGAAGGCAAAATGACGCCGGTACATTTTCCACGTCAGCACTATATGACTGCCTTCAAAATAAGAGCTTCAATATTCCTCCAGATTCTACGCTACCACAGTCAAACGTCAAAGTCCCTAATGTACTTGTTGCTGACGAAGCTTACCCGTTAAAACTCTATCTGTTGAAGCCATATGCAAGAGTAAATCTAACGACTGCAAAAACTGTTTTCAACTACAGACTGTCGCGTGCCCGAAGGTGCATTGAGTGTGCGTTTGGTATTTTGTTTGCCAAGTGGCGTATTCTAGGTAAGGACATAGAAACCAGCGTTGAGAATGCTGCGCACATAATTAAGTGTGCTTGCCTACTTCACAACGTGGCGAGGGACGGAGACGGTGATAGTGATCCAGTGTTCAGGGAGGTGCGTTTCTCAGCGCGGAGATGCGGTCCCATCCACATGCATCGAAGAAACAACAGGTACACTACCAGAGCTCAGAAAGTTCGTGACATGTTTGCTGAGTACCTCAAGAAACAAAAGATTTTGAAAGGGGACTACAGTGCATTCTATCAGTGTTGACTTAGTACTTTTCTTTTGAATACATCCTTATGTACCTTTTACGAAGACATCAAGTTAATTTTTATTTTACAAGAGTTTTTTACGCCTCCCCCTACGCGGCTCCTTATGGATATGCTTCCGCCCTTAAGACACATTCACTAATTGTTATGTAATTTAACCTTGTTGAAATGTATGTATCTCGTTAACTCATGTACAAATTATTGTTCATGTTAATAAATAACTTATTGCACTTAAGTATTGGTATTTGTAACCTACTGCTACATCTTCTATGAGAATAAAATAGGATGTTGGTTTGTATTTTTTTTAGCAGTGATAAACTCAAACACTGCTAGACCTATGGCCACGAAACTAGGTATACACTGTATATGTATAGTTTTACGGAGAAGGTTTATATACCATCCATTTCGCTCTAACACAATTGGATTCCTACCCAGAGGCCCAAAAGAGATCCTATATTAACCTTATGGTAAGATAATGCTGTTTAAAAAAAGCAAATGGCATGTTTACTTGAACAGGTGAAAAAAAACACATGTTCTTTGTTCAAATATGGTCTGTGATTTAAAACAGTTACCAATGTCAACAAGAGAATGCAGCACAGAGTTTTTCTGTAAATATAAAATGTCTAAGGAACTAGTATACAGATTATCAAGTCTTAGTACTTGATGTGAACCAAAATCTTAAACTATTCTTATTGATAAGTATTTATATTTACTTACTTGTTGTGTTCAGAGAATTCGCAATACGTTCCCACGCTGCATCAATGACCCCACGGTTGTGGTGCAATTTATGACGTGTCTGCCATATTGCATGACGTTCATGAACTTCTGCTATTAACTGCTCAATATCAATTGTCGCCATAGTCCCAACTCAAAAACACTACAGCACAACACGCAAAGACAGGGAATACGCTACTGACACCGCTCCTGAACGCTTGGAAAAAACAAACTGAGTTGTTTCGAGCCTCTCCGCTCCGCTACGCTCCAATACGCTCCGCTCCGCGACGCTGCTAGTGTGCGAGGTCTCATTTAACATAATGGTTTTGTTTTCTTCCGTCTGTCTGTCTGTTTTTACCCTTACGCTTTCACCGTGTCTATTATGCCATCCATTTTAAACATATCTAACAACCTTACTTAAAGACGCATCAGACACAGTTTCATTTCTAATTAACTCTTTTTTAACATCAGAAATAGGCACACTATTATATGCACCAACACAATGTACCAGCTCATTTACAGAGTTAGCATCAAAATCATCCTCAGTATTAAAAAAATAAGACAATAGGCAAATAATATCTTTACGGTAGATCTGCTATGTACATGTACTTACCAGGAAGCTATTCTAGATCAATGTCATATTTTAGCAATCTTACCTTCAATCTCTGTATTCTAGGGGAAACAACTCCAGACACATTTTTATTCATAATTGAGACAAGAGGTTTGAAGTCAGTTTGTACTTTAATCTTTCTGCCATACACATAGTAATGAATCCTGCTTACTGAATAAACTATACTGAGACACTCTTTTTCAATTTAAGAAATTTTTGTTCACTAACAGTGAGACTATAGAAGGAAAAGCCAAAGGTTGACCAGCCATGATACATCAACCAATTCCATATTTGGAATTATCTCATTGAATACTTGACTCTATTTTCCGTCAAAATTTGACAAAACAGGGGCTGCAGCGACCATATGTTTAAGTCCCTCAAGAACTTTGGAATGGCCTATTCCAATTGTTTTGTGATTGGTATGTATATTTGTTTTGAATTTGTTGCTGAAGCGGTTGTTGGGTCTTGTTCGCAGAAACATCCTCGTTCCTCACACTGTTTGTGTTCACCAAAGATGTGGCTCGGAATATTGAGAATATCTTCCCTCAAACAATCAATCTTCTCGTTGATGATACGGTTTTCTGTTTTCCGGTAATCTTTAGCTTTTGTTACGGCCACCCTGCATCGCAATATGCTATCCCCAATTTTTTTCGAAGGAGTACAGAGGACTTCTGTGTTTTGGAGCATGCAACAGCCTTCATCCTGGTACACATATTTCAAAGCAGATGGTTTTTACATTTTACTTTTTCGACCGTAAATGGTCGGCTCTCTAATATTTTTTTATAGACACTACTGTCGCCATCTGCAATTAATCTAGCATACCGTATTTGATGCATTTCTTCACTTTTCTTGAACCCCTCGCAGATAATTGTTGCCTCCATGCTGGTCGAACTTTGCTTCATCCCCCAGTTTTTGTAGCAGGTATGCGGTTGAGCTGCATCACCCTTTCCTTCGACCCGCGCACAGGTAGTACAATATTTGTTCTTCACACCAAGGAAAATAACTTTTCTGGTTCTGAAACCCACGATTGCCGCCTGAAAAAAATAAGAACAAATATGTTGAATCCATTAACTTTGGTATGCATTATACCAGTGTTTAACGATATTTGTTTTTTCGAATCTCCGAAGTGGACAGACTGTACTTCGGAGCTATATTTGCACACATAGATTTCTTAAAAGTCTATGCGGAACAAAATTCCCCACTCCCTTAACAACACAATCTTTTATTTTAGTTCAAGAGATTGATGATAAGACCTAAACGAATGTTCTTTGAAAATTTAAGTTCGTTCTTGAACTCTGAAATAATTTTTTTTAAGGAAGCACCTTTTTCACCTTGACAGTTTTTTGACAAATTTTTGTATTCCCTTTAATCATCTTTGTGATAGAAAATATTCCCAGCTGTTGTTGGACATTGTTATTTTATTTTTTTATGTTGAATGTTTTAACTTCTCTTCACTCTATCCGATCCTTGCTTTGTACTGCCACGAATTGTACGCCACATGCACGAATGTTTGGACATCCCAGAAGATCACAAAATGGTGTTTCCACACCAACCTGGTTGATGACTCCTGGAAAAGTGTTGATGAGACGTTCTATCAGAAACTCTAAGTATGAACCAATAGTGCAGGAGGTGACATTGCTGGAAGGAAACTCTGATTACGCTCATGTACGATTGCCAGATGGGCGTGAGACAACAGTGTCTACACGCAACTTAGCTCCTTGTGGAAAACAAGCTGAGAGAACAGATTTTGATGATGAATCAACACCGGAGAACCACACAATGGAACTTAATAGCGATGTAAACTTAGTAGACGAGACCCAGGATGTGTCTCATCCCGATGCAGAGGTGATAGAAGAATCTGCAACTCAAGAGCCTCTACAAACCTTAAGGACTGATGAAACACAATCACAGAGACGAAGCTCAAGACAGAAGAAACTACCTTCTCACCTTAAAGACTTTAAATTATATTAGCGGGGAAGAATGTGATAGAAAATATTCCCAGCTGTTGTTGGACATTGTTATTTTATCTTTTTATGTTGAATGTTTGTAATCATTATTGTTAATCATTATTCTCTAGATTTAACTCTTACTTATGAAATCCATTACTTGAATTGTGTTAAATAAAGCCTACTCATTCAAGGCAAACAATCTTTATTCTTCAACAATCTTCTCCTCCTTAACTGAGATCCATTTGTGGTATTTGATCTTGAAATTACTATCAAAGCTCGCAGGAACTGTACAACCCCCCAACCTCTGGAAGCAACTGCCCCTTTGAACGCATTATGTATTGTGTGTAGGCCGCAAGTTCCCATGTCAATTATCTTTTTGTCTAATCCTTGTACATTAAGGAAAGTACTAACATTTTCATCAATTTTTGATTTACGTTTGGCCCATCCATTGATACTTAAATTAGTTTGTTTGTGTCTAAAGGATTGAGGGATGACAAGAGGACTTTGTGAAGATCTTTGGCTTTGGAATGTATAAATGCTGAATTTAGGTAGGTACCGTGTGTCAAATTCCTATTTTTACCCATCCCAAAACCTAACTATTAAGACGAAAATTATGAATGATGGCGGTTTTGATGAAATTTTATTCATCGACTCATCAAAAAACACAACAAAAATCTAACAATCTTTAACCATGATTAAGAGGTCATTCTTAAAAAAGGAGCTAAGCCAAAGGTTATTAAGTATCCTACTTTGGTCCTCTGTAGTTCCAATTTGTTGAGCTATATCGCTGTCTTGAAACATCATTTTAAAAACCTCAACGCCAGCAGGAGCAGTTCTCAGAGAGGAATGGGTCATTACTGTGTGGATCGCCCGAAGTATTTCTGGTTTATTAACTTGCTCATTGAGCAAATACTGCTTCATTCCTCTTTGTCCCAAAGGTATGCTGAAAACAGAAACTATTAAACTTCGTCGTTTAATTTTATCCTTTTATATATAGTTTTGGGATATTTATGTAAATAATGCCATGTTTCTTATTTTCTTTGTTTCCCTGTGGGTTTTCTTCATCGATGGAGTAAATTAAACGGGCCGTCTGTGCCTGATGGCGCCCAGGAGTTGGACTATTTACCTGTGGCGGAGAAGCATGCAACATCCTGGCTTACCTTGGCCCTCTTTGTTTTGTTTTGTTATTTATTGGTGATTACTTTGTATATATTTATTTAACTGTTGGAGATTTAAAGCTTATTTATTGTTATCTTTTTCAAATTTTATTTAATACTCTTTATTAATTATTTAATTTTTAAAAAGTATTTTCTATAGTAGCCTATTTGTTTTTGGACCCCTAAATGATTAATAGTTACCAAGGTAAAATGCATTTATTAAAAATTAAATTTTTATTATTTATCGTTGTAATTTGTTTAATGTTAACCATTTTCTGAAGGTAAAATCTTTTTCTATTGTACCGGTGGAAATTAGTTTTAGGTTGAAATAACAAAAACAAAATTAATATTATTTAACCATTGGCTAGACTAAGATTAAGAAAGAGTGTCCAGCAGTTTAAAAGATTTAGTTTTGTTGGGTTGGCAGTGGTCAGTGATAACCAATTTCAAGTTTTGTCAGTTAGTTAAGTTCACTGGAAATATGATCTACAAATATGTGGTTGCTGTAGAAATTGTAAGTAGCTTTAAATATTGTTTAGTAATAAGATTTTAGGAGATTTATTGTATACAG